CATTCATTCATTCAGGCTTCCTATTTGATTTTCAGTTTGAATAATGGCATTCATTCATTCATTCAGGCTTCCTATTTGATTTTCAGTTTGATTGCTGGCATGCATTCATTCATTCAGGCTTCCTATTTGATTTTCAGTTTGATTGCTGGCATTCATTCATTCAGGCTTTCTATATGATTTTCAGTTTGAATACTGACATTCATTCATTCAGGCTTCCTATATGAATTTCAATTTGATTACTGCCATTCATTCATTCATTCATTCATTCAGGCTTTCTATTTGATTTTTAGTTTGATTGTTGGCATTCATCATTCATTCATTCATTCATTCATTCATTCAGGCTTTCTATTTGATTTTCAGTTTGAATACTGGCATTCATTCATTTAGGCTTTCTATTTGATATTCAGTTTGAATGCAGGCATTCATTCTGGCTTCCTATTTGATTTTCAGTTTGAATGCAGGCATTCATTCTGGCTTCCTATATGATTTTCAGTTTGAATGCAGGCATTCATTCTGGTTTCCTATTTGATTTTCAGTTTGAATACTGGCAATCATTAATTCAGGCTTTCTATTTGATATTCAGTTTTAATGATTTTTCAATTCAGCAATCTGGGGTTTTATTTAATTTTCAGTTTGAATACACATTGTATATAATAGAAAACTATTATCATTATCAAGTTAATATATCATTATTTATATAGGCTATATATTACCCACTGCACTACACACAGTAAGCGACGAACAGTTCACTTGTAAAGATGTATTTGAGAAAAGAGAGATAAACTTTTATGTATTTTCGCAAAACAGTAGTATTTTTCCCTTAATGCTTCCTTAAAAGAAGGGTGTGACAATTAAGCCACGATGATAGCTTAATCAAGTATGCATAGAGCGGCTATAACAATCCATTTTCCTAACTTCTCAAGATTATGTGTTATGCGTGAAATTGAATGTAAAAACAGATAAACACATTGCATGGGATTCAACAAATACACATTTGTTATGGGTAGTTTCATGTAATGTACACCTTTGATGTCAATTTTAATGAAGTAAGGGTATCTTAATGCCATGTTTCTCTCTTTTTTTCAAAATAAAATCATTCAATTTTTCTGGATCTTTCTCGCATAACACACGATCTCGTAGAAGTTTGAAAATCTCCTATTGTGTATATGTGTATACTGGTTACGACTGCAGTACGATACTACGGTACCTACATCTAACAGAAAGAAGAAAGGAATTAAAAATTAACTACATGTACACACAAATCACACAAACCTGTGAAGACAAGAAAAGACAGTCAGATACATTTCTACTTCTCCTGACTTAGATGATTACAAGCAATGCAAGTGACGAAGGAAAACAGTTAAAAACTATGGGTACATGCGATGCTAAGATATTACCACCAGAGCAAAACATTTAATGTAAGTTAATCATGAAAGCATATGGCCGATGAAATACAATATATACAACAATTCCAGCACCAATGATTTCAGAGTTCACACAGATGTTCTGCAAAAATGAAAATTGGCCTATTTAATGAAGACTCTTGAATTTTCAAAATATAGTAAAGAATTAACTTTTACGGGGATGTACGATCTGATATTCATGTTTGTCCACATTTGATTTGAAAAGAAACATTATGCAAAATAAGAAATTCTCTAAATTTTGGAGGTTTGAAAAGAGACATTAATATCTGTTAAATATAACAAATTTAATCCTTTTGGTAGTAATAAGCAAAGAATAGGTGGATAGATAGAAAAGTACACTTAAGTGGTTGGTATTGGTGCAGGATTTTTGTAGATACTGCAACTAACCTTGTAGTACTATCTGGTTCAGGTGATGGTTGACTGTAACTTTGTGTATAGGTGTTGTAATCGTTAAACCGGTTCTGGCTTTGCGAGGAGAAATACTCGCTATATGTATGCAAATATGGAACAAGATGAACATGAATTACAAATATAAAATAATATTTGCAAAGGTGAAATGATTATTTTAAAATGAACTGTAATAAAATAATAAACTTGTTAACAGTGTAAATATACATTCGGTGAGACAGACAGCACTGAAAAAACTGGCAGAGGAAATGTCTGAGAGGAGAATTTTGAAAACTGGTTTATATTTACTTTTGTATTTCAGCCAAGAATTCTAACAATATGTAAAAAAAGTATATATCTGGAATGAATTGAATTTAAGATAAAAAAAATGATACCGTAATTGCTCAGTAGAAGTGCTTGCTATGCTATGTTTTGTAGAGAATCATAGTTGTTTTACCATACCATGTCATGTCTTAGTCGTTACACAGTACTGTATTGTATTGTCCCATACCCATACCACTGTATTGCGTCATGTTAAACCATTCTGCTCCATACTACCGGTATGTCATATTCTGACATTCCAGTATACTGTGTTGAGCCATAATCATTTTACCGTACAGTGAAATGTCATGAGAGTCTTCCCGTCATACTGCATTTATGTTCAATCATTCCACTATACTATGTCGTGCAATATAGTCATGTTATTTTACCACATCATGCCAGTCATCGCACTGCAAGTACGTGTATGTTCAACCACTCCACCATACTGTGTTGTGCACGTTCAGGTTCATGAAAAGCACATCTAACAATTTATGCTAACTTTTTGAAAGGTAATTTCTGTTTGAAGTGAACACTTCTAAAAGAGCAAATACGGTGTTTAATATTTTTTTATTGATAATGCAAGCTGATAAAGACACTGCTTATGAATATTATCTTCTTATATAGTCAGATTTGATTACATATATGTCATGATAGGATGATTTCAGATAACAACTGGACGCAATGATCAAATGCTGCTAGAACAATGATAACAGTGGTCAATGATGAAGTAACAATAAGAGCGCTGTTAGACAACTAATAATCACAGAATATAGTGTTATTTTATTTTGTTAATTAGTCATTAGTTGTATTAGCTTAGGATCCAAAGTTAGTAGGTTAAAAATGCATTTTGTACTGCAGGAAACAGGCCAAAAAATTGAGCCTGAATGCAAAAATTGTTGAAAATATTATAAACATATCACATTGACAGTCACAGCTAACAAACACCGACAGTGGCTATGGACAGTTATACAATACTATACAGAATGACAAAATGGTCTAGCTGTTAACTTACTTTTCTCCTGGGTGTATTCCTGAATCTTCCTTGCCAACACTGCTATTTGACACCTGTGAGCCGCTTGGGTTGTAGGACGCACTGGTCAACATTACACCTTCTCCACCACCTACGTTACCCCTATTCTTTCTTTTACTGCTGATAGAATGCAGTTCTTCAGAGTATTCCTGCAAAAAATATAAATTTCAAATCAGGCTGGAATTACCGTCAGAAAATACTAATGCCATGAGGAAACAATAAAAGATATAAACACATCATTTTGTAGCATGGTGTGAAAAGTTGACTCAGAACCTATAAGCTAATGAATAATAATAATTTAGAGTATATGCCAACATTATATTGCCTCTATTAATCCATTTCAACACCATTTTGCACATTTTAATGTATTTTTCTATAGTTTATAAGTTAATTTGAAACCAAATAGACATAACTTCCTATTGACTAATGTTAATAACCAACAAAACTATGAATGCTCTCAGATTACACGATTACCTCAAATGCTGGCCAATTCATAGACATTCCTGTTCCATGGGTATTCTTCCACCATCTTAGATCTTTTTCAGCATCAGCATTTTGCACAGTTTGAATAAAATTGGAAAATACCCGAGAGAAACTATAGATAGACAAAAAGAAAAATGGAGATTGAGAATGTTTTATAACAAGTCATTGAAAATGACACAGTCCCCGTTAAGTTCGTTTTGTGCTCGTCATATTAAAGCGGAGGGGTTGTCGCGAGCGTGTCCTTGAAACTTGAGTTCCAAGTGGCGTATACAACAGATTGTTTATTTACATCAAAACACGTGTTTCGTGTCATAGTAATATGGCCAAAATAAAAACAGCCGTTATTCAGCCATCTTTGATCTGATTATGAAACACACTGATATGTATGATGTATGTGCCAAATACGAATGAAAATGGTACATAAATTGCGGAAATATAGTAGTAAGGCCAAAAAGTCAGATGACTGTCAATCGGCCATCCTTGACCAGAGTTTTGAAACAAATTATCATGGACATGCATCCTAACATGTATAAAGTACATGTATGTGCCAAATTTGAATGAAAACTGACAGAGCAGGTCCAAGATACCGCATAAAAAAACAAAAACAAGATGCCTGCCAGTCGGCCATTTTGAATCGAATCGCTAAACCACTGCATGTGCATATGTCCCACATAAGGTACTAGGCACATGCAAAGAATGAAC